AACCCAGAGGCTATTATGGTGAAACTAGACAGGTCAAAGTTCTTTTCCAATGTCGACCTCAATAAAGATTATTGGCAGAGTCTAAAGAAGAGATACTCTTTGTGGCCATTTGGGTTAGTCAACTCAGCAGCAACATTCAACCGTATGATGAGGAAGATGATGCACAAAACCACCAACATCGAGCATCATGTGGAAAACATTCTGACCCACACAGCCAATGGGAAGACCACCTGAAGAAACTCAGATAGCTGTTTGGATAAGTAAAGACAGCAGGTCTCACTGTTACTTTGGTTATTCTGTGCTGGAGTTTGTTGGATACAAAATAGGTGACCAACAGATAGTCATGAAAAAGGAGTAACTGACCAGTATACAAGATGCACCAGCTCCAACAACCAAGCAGCAAGTTATATCCTTCCTGGGGTTAGCGGGATACTACAGGTAGTTCCTCCCACATTACACTGATGTTGCTGCACCACTGACTGATCTGACCAAGAAAGGTCTACCCAGCAAGATGAAGTGGAAACAACCACAGCAGATGGCATTCCATAATTTAAAGAATATGCTGTGAAGTTTGCCAGACTTCAATAAACCATTCATTGTTCAGGCAGATGCTTCAGACATTGGAATTGAAGCAGTACTCCTACAAGAGCATGAAGGCAAACTGTTTCCAGTAATGTACATGAGTAAAAAGAACTACTTTGTGATAAAAAGAGTCTGGCCATCCAGAAGTTCCAGAAATACCTCTAATGGAAATATTTCTTCACCCAGATGGACCATCACCTACTTGCATACATCCAGAGTAGCAAAATCGACAGTGTGAAGATCATGAGGAGGGTGCTGTATCTCCAGAACTGTTATTTGTGCATTGAGGTCTTTGTATATAATTATAAAAAAAATATTGCAAATACTTTTCTTGAAGAGGGGCTTAATGTTAGATATACATGACTGTTCATTTTAAGTTTAATATGAGAGTATTATTTAGCTTATACAGTGCAAACGTTAAAGTAAGTTATTTTTAGAAGCGACAGTTATGGCATATTTGCTTAACTAACTGTTTACGAATCATTTCTTGTGTAGTTCAATTGTTGTGAATTGACATCATGTTACTCAAACCTTCTAAATTTTTCTCATTACTTTAATCGAGTATTGTTCCATCATACAGTATCTAGTAGTGTATAAAGTTCCAGATTGCTGTCAAGAGGGCATATTTACACTATACATACATGTCAAAAAGAGAGATAGAAATAGACTAAGTGATCGTGAGTTTAGCTATAAAGAGTGCATAATGGCGACTTTTAAAATGTAATAATCACAGATTATATTGTAATAACAGAGAAAATGAACCAGAGTAGAAACAAATAATTTGTCTTTTCAATTGGGTTTTAAAGTAACTGAATTAGCCTGTGTGGACTTTTGACAAAAGAGAGAATTATTAAAAGCTCTGGATTCAACTGTGTGATTAACTGTTTAGCGAATATTTATATACACATTTGACTTGTTTTAATATAGTGTTTTAAAACAAGTGGACTGTGTACTGTTTGTTCATTGTTGAAATTTATTGCCAAAGAGTCACAGACACTCATAACAACATCACATCTCTTATGTATTTATAACTACATAAATCAACTTTCAATGAAAAATATTTCAACTTTTAAATAGGTCAAGGACATTCCTAGCACTTCATACAGTATAGCTGAATAGGTCTTGATACAAAATACCCAGTTGATTTTGCTGTAGGCTTGTGAAACAATAATATGAATAATAATAAAATGAATAAATGAGCACATTTTGATTTTGTCTAACAATCATGAAAACACTTATTTTGCACTCAACGTTTGGGTGGTCTTAAATATTGATAAGGAAGGTTTTGAGTGTTGTTTCAAGAGTAAGTGGAGAGATCAGTATGAGGGAGAACATAGAAGCATCCTTCGAAAGCATACAAAAAACACCCTAGTGAGGGAATCCTTTAATAAGAGGATTATACATGGGAGACTACACCACTTCTGTAACAGGTATACTCTTCATCTAGATGTGGAAGAGGTGCAACAGGTATACTCTTCATCTAGAAGTGGAAGAGGTGCAACAGGTCCATGCAGAAAATTGTGAGGAACACATCCAAATGGGAGAGAAAACAGTTGGACAGTGATCCTTACCACAAGATATTATAATTTAAATCTCCCTGATAAACAGAATGTGGGTAAAATAAGGGATGTGCTCCAAGGTGTAGAGTGGCTAGGGCATGATGGACAGTACATGGCAAGTCAACTGCATACAAAGCTTGACCACCGGGAACTGACATCCATGCAGGGGTAGGAAAGAGAATCATAATGTCTTCACCTCAAGTTCATCCCACCACCAATCTGTGAACAGAGCACATGTGAAAAGAGTGAAATATATATATATACCACTGAAATCAAACAGACCATAACCATCTCAAACACAGTAAGATTCTCAGAATAAAGACATTGAGGGTTAGCGCAAGAGGAAGAAGCAAAGCAACCAACTAGTGCACCAACCGTGACCCACAACAATGGATTAGTGCATTCAAGGCGAATTGAATGAGGGAACAGGGACACCCAGAACATGTGTGTGTGTGTGGACTTTTGATGATTGGTTAAGCTCTGAATCCAAAACTAAACTGCTGGGAATAGACATCCTTGCAGGGGTAGAATGAGAGATCCCAATCAAAGAAGTGAACTGCATTTAAGCCAGCACACTGCAGGTGTGAGTACATCATGTCAACTGGTTCAGCTCTAAATCAAAAACTCAATTTTGAACTTGGCTCATCAGACTTACTCCTGATGAGTCATTCCTTAAAGAGTGTAAAGAGCAGATGTTAAAAACCAATAAGTATTTCCCGATGTTTTATAGTAAATTGCTCATTCTTATTATGGCTAGATTTTTTAAGAAGACAGTAAATAGACAGCTATATAATGTTCATTATTTCATTTGTTTTTCTGGGAAATACTTCCAAACTGAACATTGCTGTCATGTTGCTTTTTTTCATCATAATCTATTGGCCTCTCCATAAATCTGGAAGGTGAAAGAATTCTTGTGAATGATTAATCTCTACTAGTGTCTGCAGTCATACAGAATGTTTTTAAATATGTTGTTGAAGCTTCTTCTGTTAAAAAGGTAAGGCTGCATGCAGTGTATTGGTTTGTGTAGACCTTTAAACTTCAGGCCACCCTTTCTTTTATCTTGCTAAAAATATTTTTTATATTCTTTACAAACCTGTTGATTCTTATTTTGTTTCTGCTATAGCAATTTTGCCACAAAGATCTTTCTCTATTGACATAATTTTACAATCTAATTTTTAAACAGCTATATGCACTCATAAGAATAGCATCAACAAATATATTTTATTCTTCTGACGAAACATACATGAGCCAATGCCAATGTTATGAGAAATGATACAAATCCTAGTTATAAAACCTTGTATAATAGCAGCTGGGCAATTAACTCACTTAGCTGTGAATAATGATTAGTTTCGTGTAAAACAATCTTTTTATCAAAATTAGTGTTTCCGTACCTTCCAACTATCAAATAATTCAATTACTGCCATTATTTTCAGTATTATTTTTGGTTACTTTAAGTTTGTTCAACTTAATAAATTAGTGTCAGGACTCATAAAAATAATCAACTAATCAAAATTATTGTTTCTGATTATTACTATTTTCAGTTATTCCAACTACCAAAGTCTCATACAAGAATAATTCATAAGTTGAATGTAACCAATTAATGAACCTGAGAATTAACTGATCAGCAAATTCCACTAATTGCCCATTTCTATGTATAACTGACTTAGAGCAACCTATTTGCAAAATCTCATACATGAACTTTAAACAAATAAATAATGCATCAACTATTAAAACTTATAAGTACAGTAGTGGCAAAAAAATAAATAGGATACCAGTTTTAATCATATTATATTCATATGGACAGAGGCCATAAGACCTTCCTAAAAACTTTATTTACTGCAGATGTAAATTAAGCACCTCCTTTGGGCAAAGAAATACAAGGACTACATGTTGGACCACTGGAAAAATTAAAGTTTGAAATTTTCTGCAGTGTTACAATTAAAAACAATGCATTAAAATAACTTAAATTTCTCAATCAGGACAAGAAAGTATTGTCAACTGAGACATAAGAAGCACGATCTTTTATTTACTATTTCTATTTTAAGGAAATATAGAGGATCCCCATTTCCTGACTTATTTCAAGACAAAATATAAGCACATAATATTTCAAAGTGTGTTCATTTACGAACATTATAAAAGTCATGTAAATGTTTCAATTGATGTTTTTTCATGTGATATTCAATGATGAGCTCCACTCTGAATTATCTAGAGCTTGATCAGCATATGTGAAAAAATTGAAAGGGTGGTTTGGTCACATTTTTCCTTCTATGGAAGAAAAGAGCTTTGCTTCACATGTGACACTAAGAATAATGCTAAATATATACCTAATCTTGGAAAAAACTGCTCATCTCTGATGCTAGGTGGCATGGAAGGAGTAAATGAATATTCCAAAAAGAGTTAACCCCTATGATATCTAAAAAGCTGTGAAACGATCTTTGCAACAAAAATTGATAGATGTGCTAGACTGCCCTGGTAATTCACCAGATATAAACCCGACAGAAAAATTACAGGCCATACTTAAAGCTCGAATCATACATTATACAAGAAAGCTTTTCAATTGAATTACTGACTGTTGTAATCAACAACCAGAAATTTTGAAAACTTGCAAATCCGTTGGAGAATCAATACCCAATCATATTAGCTCTGCAATAAAAGCCACAGGAAGGCATAAAAAATACTAAAATCAATTTTTTTTTAAACGGTTCAGTTATTACTTTCCTAAATATCCTCATTCCTTCAATATCAATATTGTAAAATTAACACTGCTAGTTTCCCATTTATTTTGACCACTACTGTTGATAAAATAAAAATGGCAATCAACTTTTCAAGTTCATCAACAAAAGTTTTACATCACATTACCTTTTCTTCATGTCTTTCTGTGTCCACCTGTGAAGTTGACTTGCATTTCTCTTGTTCACTGTCTGATTGTGAAACTAACTCATTTTTTGTTAGTTCACTGTCTGATTGTGAAACTAACTCATTTTTTGTTAGTTCACTGTCTGATTGTGAAACTAACTCATTTTTTGTTAGTTCACTGTCTGATTGTGAAACTAACTCATTTTTTGTTAGTTCACTATCTGATTGTGAAACTAACTCATTTTTTGTTAGTTCACTATCTGACTGTAAAGCTAACTCATTTTTTGTTAGTTCACTATCTGACTGTAAAGTTAACTCGTTATTTGTTTTTTCGTTATCTGGTTGTAAAGATGACTGGTTATTTGTTAGTTCTGACTGCTGATCCACCTACATGTAAATCATGCAAGAAAACTATGTCATTCAAATAAAAAATGTTGCAGTATTTTGCTACAGTTGTCCAATTTGCACACAAAAAAAACATACTTATGTTTGGTAAATTTTGCATAAAACAAAACTTTGCATATTTAATAACAAATGATACTTTTTGCAATTAAAAGTTTTACATGCTCAATCATTGCATAAACGAAAGAAAAACTAACTGCCACATGCTTCTTTATAAATACAAGCATTAAAGAACAAAATAACAGCAATTACAATCCTTCTTTTGATGGAATAAAGCTAATTAATATTTAAAAATGATTCATAGTGGTTGGATGACAATTTTTGTCAGAATTTACTATCTGAAGAAGGCAATACTAAAGATACTGAAGGAACTAGCTTAGTGAAAACAGACACCAAAATTCCAAACTGCTGTCCCTTGTCAAGTAATTAATTTAAGTAATTCAATGTTATAAGTCCTCAGACACACAGAAAATTCTGAGTTAGCAAATGCAAGGTACTTGGATTTTATCAAGTTGCTAATCTGCATTAGTTTCAGGTATTTCATTAACAAGCACAAATATAAACTCAACATTCAAATGTACAGAATTCTTACATTTTGTGGAGTTGTCTCACTTTCTGTTTCTAGTGTGGTTTCTGTTAATGTCTGCTGAGTCACTTCCTCCACCTAAAATTTTCCAAACAAGTCAACTAGTTTATCAACCAAAACACAATATGTCTAGCTGTTATTTTAAGGTTAACTTTTACATATGTATACAAGCTCAAGTACCTATCAACTGATGGGGAATGTTTAAACTTAATCAAAACAATGCAAGTTTAACAGCAATCATATATTTTAAAGTAATAACTTGAACACAAACTTTATCTCAAAAATTTTAAATCATAACAAAGCTTCTTCATAAGCAACATTTCAGTTTGCTTTCCATCTACCAACAAATAATGATTTTGAGGTGATCTCACCATTGAACACCCTACATCTCACTGACCATGAGAAAAACATGGTTGTTTGAGAAACAATTCAGGAACTTTCATACTCTGACCTTGAATCCCTTTAGAATATTCAACACTGTCTAAAGCATCAACCTGCCAAGATTGTTTGAGATTGACTCAATAGGCTAGGAGTAATTAACAAACAGGCTTTACAAAATAGAAATAAAGTTACGTTAAATTTGACCTCCTTAGGACATTCCCCATGGTCCATAGTATTTTCATACAGATTTTGGTTGAGATTGGCCCAATAGGCTCGGAGGAGTTAGGGTGCAAACAAACATATATTTCATCTTTGTATATAGATAGATATAACATTCCTATATGAAACCTTTGCTACAGAAACCGTTTGTGTGTGTGTACACTTGAGATAGGGCTGAGGTGGAAGAACAGAACACTATGGTTTCAAGCAAAATTTGGGCAACCAAGGAAAATAAATTATTCAAATTCCTCATTATTCATGCATTTTCTGAATATCTTTTTTGAAATCTATATCATGAACATGTAATTAAAATGAGTGAGTAAGTCATATGAAAATGTTAGTTGCTAGCCTGTTCTATACAACTTTCAAGTTTTTAATTTCTGTACATGACACAAACAAAAACCACTTCATGTATATAATAGTAAGGAGAAAATTATAATTCAAAGCAGAGTTTTAGTTAAAACTGGTTACCCCAGGAACCTTCTTCATAACGGTTATAATAAAACATTTTTTTTATATTCCTGCATAGGTTGCAGAATACTCTTTGCCTTACTCTTTACTGTTATCAAACTTTAAAATGATTATTATAGATACAAAAAAAAGATTATCAACAAATTTTAGTTTAAGATGTAAAGTGCCAAAAATTTTTTCCTGTTTTTCACCTTTTAGTTTTTGCTTCTTTTGACTAACATGAATGTTTATCTGTAGTTCGTTCAATCTACCTACCCATACAAATGAAGCAATAAAGCTACAACATATTGCATTTTTCTTCTAGCTAAAATTTGAAATGTTAATGATTACACATAAAATATACAGGAAATAATAATAATCTATATTTCAAAACTGCAAACAGTATAAAAAAAAGAGTACGTTTCATTTCCAAATAATATATAAATTTTTACTTCTCTCAAAAGAACTTTGATATAAAAAAAAAAGTTTCCCTTAGGTTACTAAACTCATTTTGCCATTGAAAATGAGCAAGATCCAGAATTTCTAATTGGTGATTACACTAGCAATATTCCACACACTGTGCAAATTAACTTGAAATTTAAAACTGTCATTATAATAAAAATACTAGGGGATAAACTTTGGCTTTGTATACAACGTATGTACTAAAAGTATTTGACTACTGATACAGTTTCACCAAAACAAAAAGAAAGAAATTGGATACAGACATGACTAAAATCTTCAACTTACCATATATGAAGCATGTGTTGTGCCATATGAGCCAAAGCCCAAAGATCTTCACATACACAGCATTATTAAGTGAAATACTATATACATGAAACTGGGATGTTTTAAATAGATAAATCCTTTATATAATGCTGTTTTTATGCAGATGGACATGAATGAAAGAAAAACATACTAAGCAGAATATGGAGTTTTTGTGATTAGATTTAAAGTAGTGTAAAACTTGGAATGATTATAAATGAAATATATCTCTGTGTACAACGTTTTTTGTATCAACACATTGTCTTTCTGGATAATTCCTATCTTTGACTGAGATCTTGAGACTTTTTCCTTGATCAACCTCCTGATAAAGGGACATTATAAAATAGTGAATAAGTGTCTAAACTGCATTTGTAATTCATTTGAAACCTGAAATTATATTCTTCCATACAATGTGTTAGCTGTAGAGCATCAAAAATGAATGAAGTTGTGGCAGTGACTATTAAGGCTAATTACTGTATATTATATAGCAGGTAAACTTGTGCTTCACAGTTTCTGAATTCTTTTCCAACTGGTCTTCATATTAAAATCATGTTGAACTAAAAGAAATATGAAAAGTTGTCTTATTAGGCAGCTAATTTACATTTATATTTGCAAAAATATTTACATACTTGTTCCTTAGCTTCACTTTCATTCAACTCCTCCCCCGTATTCTCTGTTGTCAAATTGTCAAGTGATGTATCTCCATCTGTTGATATCTCATCACCTGGAAATAAAATACAAAACAAAAATATCATACTGAAAACTTTGTTTTAAATTGGAAAAAACAAGTATTAGTTTATACTCAGATTAATCACTCAAGATACATTTTAATTGCTTTGAAATGAAAACTCATCTGAAAATTACATCTCAACAATTTATGATAATCCACAACTTACTGCTTCTGGTCAGCAAAACTTCAAACTTAAACTGGTAAATGAGCAACACATGCTTTCTATACTCTTTCCCCAATTTTTGAAAGGTATAACTGACAACAAACAATATATAGTTCTGTACTATACACGTGATAGTTTCATGAACTATATAACAGTCATGTTAGAAAGGGCTAAGCACACCACAGTCAATTTACAATCACACCTCACGACATGCCCATGCTATGATCAAGAGTATCACAAGAAAATATTTTTTCATTCAAGTTTTCTTATTTAACCAAATAAGTTTCTAATTTTTACATTTTAGTTATTTCTATAACAAATAAAAAACCATTAAAAAAAAGAAATTCAGTACTTATATCTTGACACTTTTTGCCATCAGCAGAAGAAGCATTAAAGGTCTACTTTTCCATAACAATGTTGGTGGTCCAAAATATTAATAATTTCTATTTCAAATATTTATTTACCCCAATTCCCTATCAAAGATCAAAATAATCACTATAACCTACCTGACCACCCTATCTGTTCCATTGACTGTCCTTTACTCCCCTAATTATTCATCAACAAATGTTATAGGGTAAAATTTGTTACTTGATAGAACCTGCTCATTACAATTAAATTCACTGTACTAGATGTATTGTAATATTGTTTCTAACTTTGTGAAAGACTTTTAAGCCACTGTATCCATCACATGTAAAAACTTAAGTTCCTCTAATTCTGTCATTTCAAGCAGTTTATATTTCTTGGTCTCTGTTTAAGATAGCCTCCAATTTCTCCACCAAACTGCAAACTCTATATACAAATTGCACATCTTCATTACTAGCTTCCTTAAAATCACATTCAAATCTTGAGTTTTCAAATAAAACCCACTCTTTACACTTATATCCTACAAGTGTTATAAACTCTTTATCATTGTAGTTTGGAAATGAACAATCAACACCAAAAAAAGTAATTACTGATAACACTGTTAAGCCTAACACTACAGGGTTAAAACTAAAATGTTACACTATTTCTCTCTTTATCTTCATAGTAAAGTAATAAAGTTAATCTTTCAAATATAGAAGTAGGTGGTTTTGGTGATTTTTAAATAATGAAAATAAAAAATTCACACACCACTGGATTCCAGAGTCACAAATTAGTAGATTTACACTGCAAGTTCAATTATGTAGTTTATGATTAACCCTTTCGAGACAGGTCACAGGTAAAAGGCCATGTCATCTCGTTTGTTGACTCGCAATCAAAATTTTATTGAAATACTATTTCATGAATTTATATCAATAAGTTTGGTATCAAACTGCAGATTATAATTCAAATTTTAGAACTATACATTACTCAATTTGTTAATTTAAAAGTAAATATTAAAAAACTCAGATAAACATTGATTTTTATGTGTCACATGGTATGTTGAATGCAGCACTGGTTCAAATTAGATGTTTGTGATGTCTAAATACAAAGTCTATAGTTTCTTACAAAGTAGGAGATTACCAATATTGAGAAGCTAGAATATAAAATAAGAACCTCCTATCTTTTCTATTTGCTGAGTTATCACTTATGTACTGAATCAAGCACAGTGGCCCTGCCCACCTCTTTCCATTTTTGGAAACACTTTTTCATATACAGTTACTTCTGTCTATGCCATGTGAATAACCAATGGGAAAACTCAGAATGTCCCCCTAGTGGCTTTCTAAGCCATTTTCACATACTACGACGCCATCATGTTCTTTCGATACAAATCTTCATGCTGGTAAAGTGAGTCTTTAGTCTGCTTGAAATTTCATAATTTTTAGACCCAAATACAGCTTAATTGCTAAGCTTGATTATTTATAGTGGAATTCTATGGTATTGATGTAGTAATTTATGATTTTTTTAGTTATTCAACTGTATATACAAAACCTAAAAAAAATTAATTTCATTTCACATCCTCCATGTGCAAGATTTTATAAAGCTGGTTTATTAGATCACTGGACTCATACATAGTTTTAATTAACAGGTATTAGGTTTTGGTTTCTAACCTGGTTTATTAGATCACTGGATTCATACATAGTTTTAATTAACAGGTATTAGGTTTTGGTTTCTAACCTGGTTTATTAGATCACTGGATTCATACATAGTTTTAAATAACAAGTATTAGGTTTTGGTTTCTAACCTGGTTTATTAGATCACTGAATTCATACATAGTTTTAAATAACAAGTATTAGGTTTTGGTTTCTAACCTGGTTTATTAGATCACTGAATTCATACATAGTTTTAAACAACAAGTATTAGGTTTTGGTTTCTAACCTGGTTTATTAGATCACTGAATTCATACATAGTTTTAAATAACAAGTATTAGGTTTTGGTTTCTAACCTGGTTTATTAGATCACTGAATTGATATGTAGTTTTAAATAACCAGTGTTGCTTGGTACACCATGCTTGTATTATAGTGTTTACAAGAACAATAAAACAGTTTGAATTTGGCAGTGTACAAATGTCAGTGATATATTTTGTAGCTTGTAAATATTTAACTAGTTTATTCTTACCATGCAGGTGAGAATGCCATACTAATGTAAGAAAAGTTTGTTTTTTTTGTAACTAAAAATCATACTTTGAGTTCATATTTGTTATTTTAAGTACTGTAGTTGAACTTTATTTTTACAATGAAAAAGCAACACACACACAACATTTGTAAGACACTAAAAAGAAATTTTTGAGAATTCACAATCACAGAACAGTGGCAAGTAAAAACTTTTCAATAAAAATGTACAGGTTTCTTGAACTTTGGGTTAATAGTTCAAACAAACGAGGGAACTTCAAATTTTGTTTTGTTTTCTCACATTATTTCATTACAGTCTTATGATACATATCAGCTTATCACCCCTGGTTTGAAACTGGAAAGTCTGATTATTTGGTAATAAAGAACTATTAAGTTTAAATGCAGAGTAACCAAGTTATTTAAGTGTATACATTTGTTAGATTTGATTGAAAACCATATTTATAAACCAGTACCTAGGTAATCGAGCATCTCCAAAAGTAAAAACAAAAGTGATTGAGTTGATGTTCAAGTGGAGTGTGGAATTAAAGCAAGAACCTAAAATATTTGAAGCGTACCAGATGCTAAAAAGACAAGGAGTTGTAACTGAAGACCCTGTTCACATAATACAGGTTAGTTTAAATTTGTTGCTCATTTATAAAACCATGAAAATAATCTTTACTTGGTAATGTTTTCTTATTATAATTATTTCCTACCATTATTTTTTCATGTATATGTACGTCTGTCTTATTTAGGTTCAGCCTGCATGTTCATCTAGTCTATTATTATAAAATTATCTTTATCAGTTTGGTATGTTTAACTTTCTCTGATGGTCTCTTAAAGTACAGGTTAAAACAAACTACAGAGGGTTGAGTATGTTATATTAAAATTATTTTGAATATTCAAGTCAGTCACAGCCAGTCTAAAATCACTGTGTTATGATATGTATCAAAACTATATTCGGACATTGTTTAGCATAGTGTGATGTCACTGAAAATTGATTGCTTTTGGGAAAAGAATGTCACAATGTTTTCTGATGCAATATATTCGTACACTTAGATCATAGAGATTTTTTTCAGATTGAGGATTTAATATTTCTAAGCTGAGGATATTCCTCATACTGAATAGCATTTGGTAACAAAAGCATATGGGTCAACTTGGGGAATCGGGACCATCCATAAAAAGATATGAGTAACAACTTATACTCAGCTGTTGTAATCAAAGTGTGGTGTCTTATGATAGGTGAGAATCTTTGAATGCAGAAGTTCGTCAAAAGCTGTCTGAAGTTCCAGGCAATAGTATGCAACATATGTTTAAGAAGGATGTCTCTCTGGAAAAGCACGTCTTGTTCAATCACTGCATACCTGTAGCAGTTGGAGAATAAAATGGGTGTTAATGCTATTCCATATAAAGATGTACCAGTCAAATCACTTGATGTAGCACATGTGGATCTCTGTGTAATAAAGATGTACCAGTCAAATCACTTGATGCAGCACATGTGGATCTCTGTGTAATTGGACTTAAAACATGCACTAGAAAACTGTTGTCCTCGTACGTTTGATAGGTTATGATCTTATGGAAAGCAGCAGGGAGGAGGGGCTGTGCTTTGGACATGACAGCCTTTCAGTAGAGTGTTTTGGAATGTAGATTATACTGCAGAGCTGTTGTTAAGATGTACAATTATCAGATAAATCATGGCTAGATGTGGTGACACCGAGTGTAACAGTATTGTGAGACTCCAAAGTTGTTTTAATATAAAGTACTTAACATCTGGAATATTCATGTGTTTGTGAGAGAATGAACTGTAATAATATATTGTTGTCAGTATTTGCTTATTTCTGTTTTTTGTATCTAAGAACAACAAAAGCCATAACCACTCTGGTATAGTGTGTAAGATTAGTGGGAAAAGTTCTTTGTACTTTAAAGGTTAAAAAAAGGACATTAGATATTAAAGTTTTTCAACAGTAATACTAGTGTTAAACCAAACTTTGTACTTTAAAGGCTAAAAAAAGACATTAAATATTAAAGTTTTTCAACAGTAACTTTGTTATTAGATCAGTTGACAGAAACACTAGTGTTAAACCAAACTTTGTACTTTAAAGGCTAAAAAAAGACATTAAATATTAAAGTTTTCAACAGTAACTTTGTTATTAGATCAGTTGACAGAAACACTAGTGTTAAACCAAACTTTGTACTTTAAAGGATAAAAAAAGACATTAAATATTAAAGTTTTTCAACAGTAACTTTGTTATTAGATCAGTTGACAGGAACACTAGTGTTAAACCAAATAACAATTTTCTTGACAGTAACACTAATGTTAAACC